AAGTTTTGGGGTGTTGTGGATATGTGGACAGTGGCCTGCAAGAATAAAGTGAGCACAATCAGCCTACAGCCATACATTAGACATATCAGGCTATTACTGTATGTAATCTCTGCTGTAACAAAGATTAACTCTAATTTGTGGCGACCTTGTGTGATATTATGAGAGCAGGAGGCACACCACAGAGCACAGAAATATCTTTTAATAGTTATATTGCAGCATTTGTTTTTGCGTGTCGGCACCATTAAGTCTGCATACTTTCTATCTGGTTTTACCTTTAAACAAAATTATAAAATACACAAAGAGAGAATGAATCTGACCTAAAAAAACTAATAATAACCTACAATAATAATCTCACCACCCAATGTTATTTGGATATGGATATGGATACACACACACACAGCGTTGTACTTTACAATGACGCCATCTAGTAACATTCAAGAATGTGATTTAAAACAAGAAATTAAATGAAAGATTGGCTTTCTAATTCTATCTCTTTGGATATTTTGACAGACTTACACTAAAGTCTATACAGAGTAACACTGACACGTCTATTCAGAGTGGTGGCATATTAACACTGTGTTACTTTAATGTTTTCTGATTTGGTTCATGTCAGTCAGCTGATAGAACTGAGTAAATATTGTGGATTTTCTGGGATGCAAAATGGTGGCTTTTCTCAGCTGTAAAATATTAACTCATTTAACAACCGACAGATAAGACTTAGTAGCTACACTCACTGTGGAGGTCACAGGTCGACCCAGTGGAAAGAACTATTAAATTGAGACTTTTGAAACCGTTTTTTTCCCCTTTAATCAAAATAAAACACACAGTGCAACTTACAATCTCTCCTAAATCTTCATATTTATGTATACATTGTGTTTCTGGGACATTATAGTATATGTGAAAGAGTGTGTGTGTGTGTTTGTGTGTGTGTGTGTGTGTGTGTGTGTGTGCGTTTCAAAGCTATAACAATTAGTTAATTAATCCATCAGTTGATTGACAAAATAATACTATTGTGATTTTGATTAATCATTTTTAATTTGTGACAAAAAGCTGAACATTGTCTGTTTTCAGCTTCTCAAAATGTGATGGTTTCTCTGCTTTTCTCTGTCATACTGTGGTAAATTAAACATCTCTGGGTCTTTGGACTTTGGAAATTTCATAAACTAAATTATTATTAATTAATTATAAAACAAATAATTAGGCAATTAAACTGTATTTTTAACTAATTAAATATACAAGAATTGTGTGAGAACTTGCAGTAGCGTAGGAAAAGTTTTGTATTCTTTACAATGAAATGTGGTGCTACATTTACTCAGAGCTGTATAATAAATCAATTTCTATCAACAATCCATCTTCTTTGTAAGAGAGTGCAGCACAATTTTCAGCAGAAACTACACCATTTTTAAAAAACTGAACACTTACACTATTGATGTAGTTGTTATATTAAAAAAAGGGGGTTTGGTTTTGAAAGTAAATTGTTAAACTGTGGTCTTCTTTTTACATTACTACTGACTACATACTGTGACATATATTTACAGACTTGGAAAATAGCCAAAGCATCCATTCAGAGCTCATAAAAATGTAGAGAGATGTAGCATGACTCCATATGTTAAGAATGCATTTTGTATCACATAAAACTTTGGTTTCTGTATTAAACTGTATTGTGAAATTCTGCAGTTAATGCATTTAATGCAGTATGCAGTATGCAGTATGCAGTATGCAGTTAATAAATTGTCTATATAGAGAAATCACTATTTTTTGACAGAGGTCAATTACAGAATAACATGTCTCTGTATCTGGTAAAAACTTTTATTAGACAATCACAAGATAAATATGAGGCGCTGATTTAACAGAACAGGGGGGGGGGGAAATTGGGGTTTAAACAAAACTGAACTACTTACAAGTTGGGTTCAAAAATAGAAACATATCATTTTATTGGGTCACAATCCTTTTCAAGTTGAGGGAAATGTTCTCTTCAATCACTCAGCACCTCATGAGCCACATCACTCCTAGTATACTGTGGGACAACAGAGGTTGAGTAACATTACATTTACACTGTGCGTAACACCAAAGCATTGACACATCCCTGACTGATGTTTCACTTCCCACATTGCACATTCACATGTCAGGAATTATAGACACGTGTGACACATAGTGAATACCTCTTTGTTTCAGCTGATTTGGTTGTTACGTCACAGTATTTGGACAGATTGTGATTCATCTCAGATAGAAGTTTTAAAAGTATATCTGCAGACGCTGATGCTGCGGGCTGTTTGTAAAGCCGTCTGAAGAAGGTTTAGTGTCTCCTGGACGTCTTTGATCCTCCTCCTCAAGGAATGCTACGGCTCACTGCTGCTTCTCAAACACCATCCTGTAAGAGACCCAAAACCACTCACTTAAGAGCTCATAAAACTGATGCACAGCACACCTCCACCCTTCATGAGTCAGACCCCATACAATATAGCCTAATACTTTTATATTCATTTGTTAAATTTAGTTACTTGGCTAATGGTTGAATGTTGATCATCTACCAATTAAAGCAGCTCAAGCTAAATTTGACTAATGAATGATTCATCTTAATGTAATAATTGAATTTATCAATGATACTGTATGTTTTGATGAAAATGCCTGTATTCAGATCCTTTATAAATATATAGCTGCTCTGTGTGCCAGTCTGATGCAACAAGCTTTATACTTGCACAAAAACAAGGATCAGGTACAGTTCTGTAAGGAGAGGCAGGCTGATGAAAGGCTCTGGTAGTTTAACTTTGAGAATAATTTAATTATAATCAATTTAATTTGCATCAATATTCATAAACTGACAGTTGATTAAATTACATGACCTTTCATGCTGGATTGGTGTCACTTTTAAGTCTAAGGTCAAAGGTCATTGTGACTTTCAAATTAGATTTTAATACCCCCGCAATTTAAGAATAAATTGACTGATTCCAGATTTCACACACGTTGACTGGGACGACACAATGAGTGAACAATA